CCTGCCTCAGCCTCCTGAGTAGCTGGGATTACAGGCACGCACCACCATGCCCAGCTAATATTTTGTATTTTTAGTAGAGACGGGGTTTCACCATGTTGACCAGGATGGTCTCGATCTCTTGACCTCGTGATCCACCCGCCTCGGCCTCCCAAAGTGCTGGGATTACAGGCGTGAGCCACCGCGCCCGGCCTTTTTTTTTTTTTTTCTTTGACAGGATCTGACTCTGTCACCCAGGCTGGAACGCAGTGGTGCCATCTCAGCTCTCTGCAACCTCCACGTCTGGCTCTCACCATCCTTCCACCTCAGCCCCAGAGTAGCTGAGACTACAGGTTGTTAAGTGTGCTTTGAATGAAGACGCCTCCCCAAACAGGCTTTGTGTGAGCAACATGGCTGCTTATTCACCCAGGTGCAGGCCGGCTGAGCTGAAAAGGGAGTCAGCCCACCTGCACCCCAGTGAATAAATAGCTATGTTGCTCACACTAAGCCTGTTTGGGGGTTCTCTTCATTCAAAGCACACTTAACATTTGGTGCTGAAACCCAGGAGCTTTGGGTTGGAACTCCAGGAGCTCTGGGAGCAGCGACGTGCGTTGGACAGTCCAACTTTCAGTAGGGGCCCCGCACAGACGGGGCAGGGCTTACGAGGAATCCCGGGCTGCGGGCATTCCTTGGCCCAGTGGCCAGGTTTCCAACACTTGAAGCAAGGTCCAGGAGGGGCAGCTGGATGCTGCAGTCTGGGCGCTTTGAAGTCTTTGTGAGCCAGTGTGTGGCTGGGGTTTGTCTTATGGTAGAGGCCGCATCTGTAGTTCTGAGATGCACTGCCGGCCGGCACCTTCTTCCCTATTACTGAACACCTTGAAGACGAGGTTGATTAATTCCTGTTGTGGAGTTTGAGGGCCAGATTTTAATTTCTGTAGCTTTTTTAATGTCAGGGGCTGATTGGGTGATAAAATGCATATTAAGCATTCTTCAGGGGTGAGATAGGAGTAAGGATGACGTTTAAGTCACTGCAGGTGAGATTATAGGACTGGGTAAGTACCGGAACTCAGCCACCTCTGGAAGCGGGAATTGGGCAGGGGCGGAGTTAGCCTCAGGACTAAACTGTAAGCCGAACCAGGTATGAGGTGAGGAGGTGACAGGAGGGGCATAAGGAGGTGGGTTGTGGGCGAGGAAGAGGAGGGAGGCTGTGGGGTGGGGGTTTGGTTCGGACAGGCGGGGAGGAGAAAGATCAGAAGAAGGGTCCATGGACAAGGAGGATTCTGGGTTACTGGCAGGGGCAGGAGGGGCAGACGGAAGGGAGAGAAGAAAGATCTGTGACGAATTGCATTGAGAGCAGAGATTAGGGAGAGATTGGAGTGTAAAAAAATGCCTGGACGTGTGGCACTTCAGACCATTTGCCCATTTGTTGACAAAAATGGTCTAGGTCTCACAGAGAAGAAAAATGGAAAGTGCCATTTTCTGGCCATTTGGAACCATTGTCTAATTTTTATTGAGGCCAGGCCATGTTACAGGAAAAAAAATGAGACATTTAGGTTTCAGATAGGGCAACAGTTGAAGGGGCTTTAGGGTTTTTAGTGTGCAGGCTGGAGGTGAAGACAGAGGAGTAGAGGGTGGAATACTGCTCATCGTGGAGGAAGTAAGGTGGAGAAAGAGAGGTAGAGACGAGGAGAATGACAGCAGCTACCAGCGTTTTCCGTAGGCATCCCTGACTGAGTCCCAGGCTGTGGCATGCATGACGGATCAAGGCAGGCATCTCCGCGATTGACCAGACACCAAGGAAAGACCGTCTTCCCGAGTCTGTGACCAACGTTGGAGTTTTTGAGTGCAGGGATAAAGAGTATCTCCTTGGCCTCTACTTAAAGAGGGAGACTTATGTCCTGGGGATTTAAGGGAAAAGAGTGAGAGAAGGAGACTTGTCTCCGAGATGTGTCTCTTTGGGATTTAAAGGAAAAGAGAGAGCAGGCAGAGACTTGTCTCTTTTTCTCTAGAGGAAAAGAGAAAGAAGGAGAGACTTGTCTCCTTTTTTCTAAAGGAAAAAAGAGAGAAAGAGGGAGAGACTGCTTACCCTATCTGAAGGTGACAAGAGGGTGGTTGGGCTGGTCCGATGTGCTGAGGTCACAGGTGGGTCTCTTCACAGGGACAGGGGGTCAGTCTCCCACAGGAGTACCGCTGTCCTGGGTTTTGGAACCAAATGTTAAGTGCGCTCTCAATGAAGAGCCCACTAAACAGGCTTTGTGTGAGTAACAAGGCTGTTTTTCACCTGGGTGTGAGTGAGCTAGTTTGAAAAGACAGTCAGTGGAGGATGGTGGGATAAGAGTTGGTTTTATAGTTTTGGGGTAGGCAGTGGAAAGTTACAGAAGTTACAGTTAGGGCGGTTTTTGCAAGCTTGGAGGGGGTCATAGGGTCTGGAGTCACAAGGTTGACCTATCAGTTGAGCACAGTTGGTTACCTTATCAGTTGAGCACAGTCAGTTGCCTTATCAGTTGAGCACAGTCGGTTGCCTTATCAGTTGAGGCAAGAATAAGGAACAATAGAAGCATGTCTCAAAGTGAATTAAGTGCTGCAGGGGTTGGCCATTCTTCTCCTTTTGTGGTTTTCCAGTTACTTCAGACTTTCTGTTTGCAGGAACTCATCTGGATGTGTATGTGTGGGTCACAGAGGTTACCCTGCAGTCCATGGCACAGTCAGTCAGCCTAAAAGACCTCACACAGGTGCTTGCCACCATGCCTGGCTCGTTTTTGTAGTTTTTGTAGAGATGGAGGTCTCACCATGTTGTCCAGGCTGGTCTCGAACTCCTGGGCTCAAGTGATCCACCCACCTCGGCCTCCCAAAGTGCTGGGATTATAGGTGTGAGCCACCATGTCTGGCCTATGACTTGATTTTTCTTTTTTGAGGTGGAATTTCTTTCTTGTTGCCCAGGCAACAACACCATTGCAGATCTCAGCTCACTGCAACCTCCACCTCCCAGATTCAAGTGATTCTCCTGTCTCAGCCTCCCGAGTAGCTGGGATTACAGGTGCCCGCCACTACACCCAGATAATTTTTGTATTTTTAGTAGAGATGGGGTTTCATCATATTGGTCAGGCTGATCTTGAACTCCTGACCTCAGGCAATCCACCTGCCTGGCCCTCCCAAAGTGCTGGGATTACAGGCATGAGCCACCACGTCTGGCTGACTTGATTTTTCTAAGAGTTGTAATGATGTTAATAAGAATAAAGAGAGATGCTAGCTTCTGTGGTGACTGTTTTTATACGAAATGCTCTGTAAGACAAGGCTGGGGAAAAGGATTTAAATACAGTGTTGAGAACGGCAATAAAAAGGCAGATGCAGCCAGTTCAAACAGAGAACTTCATTGTATTTTAAAACCACATAA